CATGAGCTGAAAAAAACATAAAAGATGAAAGCAGGCTGAGTTTTGGTTGATGGTGGTATTCTTTTAGTGCGCTTTGTGGGATGGGAAGTTGGTAAGATAAATCCTTTGATTTAATTCTCACTCTTGTGGGAAAAAAACTGGTGCAGTATTAGTCAAGCTTTTGCTGCACTCTTCATCTTTTGTTCCCTCTAGAATCACAAAATAAAATATCATTAAATGACGGATCCACGGATAAAGGTTTAAGAGTTGCAACAAACTTCTGAGCGATAAGTGTGTATATGTATGTTTCTTTAGTCAAGCTCAATTATGAGCAATTGTTATGTTGCTCTATAATGACTCAAAAAGTCAGTAGGTTGAAATAAAAAAATAAACATTTGCAATGTTGGGTAGGCTGCCCTATCAAGAACATAGCTCAATGGGGACTTGACTAATCATATGTGGATAGTTTTGTTCTATAGTGCTGCATTACTCCGGTTTAGTTCCCTGACTATTGAAAGTTAATCCTATTTGGTCTCTTGATGTCTAAATGAGATCGAATTTGTATATACAATTGAATAGATTAGGACAATTTTCGTGACATGATTTATGCACGAGGAATCAATTTTAAATAGTCGGGAGACTAAATTGGAGCATTGCAAGACTTTGAGATTGAATTAATCACTTTTAAATAGTTGATGGAACATTTTAAGCTTAGCTCGGTACTATAATCCAAATTTTTTATTTTAAAATTTGAGGGTAAAAGTACATATATTAAACTCTCTTTTGACCATGCATTTAGGAGAGAATTGCACACAATTGCTTCAAGTTCTTAAATTATTTTGTTTATCGTTCATGTTCTGTGTTTTTTTTTTGGCTTCCCTTTTGGCATATTGAACTTCCTTTAAGACTGTTCGAGTTTTTAGTGAAAATGAATACAACGTTCCTTGTGTAGCATAGCATTAGTCCTCATCCTTGGGTTCTTATGGGTATTTGTAAATAGAAAATATGTTTTATAATTTGATGAATACATTTCATTCATCGGCTGCATGTGGGAAACCATTAAATTTGTGGGATCTGTGAATCTTGAAATCTATTTTGATTTCTAATTACAATAAACCAAACAATGATATCGAGCAAATTTAATCATTTTCTTAAAACATGTTTCCTGATCTACATAAAAATAAACCCTTAGTTAAATTAATGAAATAAAACCTGCCCCAAATGCACATAGTTAGGTCTAATTTTACTTGAAGGTGAATATAAAAAAGTAGTCCTTATATCTTAGATTAATTTTTTTGTTAGATATTCAAATGGGGGTTTAATAATCTACAATTTTTCTCTCCCAAAAAGTACGAGATCTTAAAATATAAAAGATTTTATTTTTTTTGTATTTTATGCCTATAAAATAATTATCATATTTTTTATAAGAAAGCATGTCACTTTTTTCTCTAGTTTTTTTTTATCCATCAATTCCTAAGCTTAATAAACCATAGAATATGTTATTTTAGTAAAAAGAAAAATTAACTTAGTCTAGTAAGATGAAAAATTATTTATTTGGCACTGTATTTATTTTTAAAGACATTATTTTGTCACATAAGATTTATTTGAGCTAGCATCTATGCAGAATTGAGCTTCCATATGTTCCGATTTCATTTGTATTGACTGATGAAAAATACTCTTTAGTTGGGATTGGCATGAATTGCATAGATAAATGAAAATTATATATTTTTCTTTTGGATATTTAAGGATTAACATATTATTGTATAAGCTCATAATGTAGCTAGAACAGATAGGAATAAAGAAGTTTGTTTTGAAGGAATCCGAGGGATAAAGTCCTCCAAAAATAGAGTTTACAATTGTTTTTTGTCGCGGTTTTTTGGGTTTAACTTGCACTGGCAGTTCTTTGGGTGTAACTTGCCTTGGACAGCAATCAGCTCTTATTTCTAGGCCTTCTAATTGCTGTAAACTGAAATCCAACTTTGTGTCCTCTTCATACAGAAAGAGCGTCCAGGTACAGAATAGCAAGCCTGTTTCTGTAAAAATGCCTCTGAATTTACTTATGTCGACAGCAAATAGCAACTTGTTTCTGTCCTGCAGCAGGTCTGGACAGCAGCTGTTTGGGCTGTAGAGGTGGCAGCAATGGAATTGTAAGCTGCGGCAACCATGAATCTTCAGCTCATGGCATATCAAGGACTGAATTTCAAGCTATCGCTTCTCCTACAGTCACCTGAATTCCGAAGACTAGTTCTTTGTGGGCCGAAATGGACTGAAAGATTTTGGAGAAAAATAGAAAGCAAAAAGAATTTTTTTCCTTTCTAAAAATTTTAGAATTCTACTGATTTTATTATGGGAAGTTAATCATATTTTAAGGGAAAAGCGCTTTATTAATCCTAAATAAACTCCACTTTATACAAGAATAAACTTGATAACATCTAACTCAACAAAAATTGCTGGAGTTTTTCTGAATTGATTTTAGATATAATTTATCCTATGTTCAAAAACTCATGGCCAGCCTTATTCCACTATAATTTATCATTTGTTCCAACATTATAGTAGCTTCTGGAACCTTGGTCTCTCTTTTATGGTGCCCAATGGACAATCCTATTTTTCATTAGGGCACTTGGTGGTGTTATTGCAAGAAAAATTTTATAAGATAGTGGTGAGACCTGCAATGCTCTATGGCGCAAAATGTTGGCCTTTAAAAGAGAAGCATAAAACTAAGTTATGTGTTGCTGAGATGAGAATGCTTAGTTGGATGAGTGGCTTTACACATAGAGACAAAATGCGGAATGAATATATCTGTGATAGGATTGGTGTAGCTCTAGTGCCGGACAAAATTAGAGAGAGTCATCTTAGATGGTTTTGCCACATTAAACGTCGACCATCTAATGATCCGGTTAGGAGAATAAATGTTTTGGATTCGATTTATATAAAGAAAGACCGAGGTAGACCAGGTTTGGGCATAGTGTATAGAAAAGGATCTTAATTTATTAGAATTAAATGAAAATATGACACTTAATAGGATGCAATGGAGAAAAAAGATTCATGTAGCCAACCTCATTTAGTGGGATAAAGGCTTGTTATTGTTGCACTTGGTGGTGTTATCTTCAGTCTCAATAAATTGATCTTAAAATCACTATGGTCGACAATTTTTATTGAGAAATAGACCATTAATACTACAACAAATACAACAATTTTTATGGAGAAATAGACCATTAATACAACAACAAATACAATATCTTTCATATTTTCACTAAATTGTGAGGAATACTTATAGTATTTTTCTTTCTTGATATGGATAGTCGGTTAACTATCACTTTCATGATTGGATTCCCAGATCACTGTTAGTGTAGGAAGCATAATTAATTTCAGCTAAAGAATGCTTAAATTCATTGATGTCAATATACTGAATTCTACAAATTGTATTCTGCTTTTTGGCAGCTATTAAAAGATAAGTGTTACACGTTAACTAACAACCCAATAGAAAGATAATTTAATTTGAAATTTGAAGGCCACTTTATCAAACTTTTAAATTTAATGTTTATGCTATTAGCCTATCACTATTTCTGTCATCACATCATCTTCTGTTCCTTGACATTAATTTTCATATATAACAATCTTCTTATCTATCAATATGATTAAAAAAAATGAATAAATCAAGTAGTTTTAAAGGCTTCAAGTGTCAATTGAGTGCTTCATTGAGAGTGTACCAAGTATATTTTTTTCTATGAGGTAGCTTCTCTTATTGAATTTTTGAATTATTTACTATTCAAAACTTTGTACAAGCTGTCAAATATATGTTCCCAAATATTTTACCTATTGAATTTTTTCCCCTTCTTGGATCCTCTCTCTCTCTCTCTCTCCCTCTCCCTCTCCCTCCCTCGCGCCCTTCTCCCCCTACCCCCCTATCCCCCTCCCCCCTCTCCCCTCCTTTTCATATTATTTCTAACATGGAAAAACCCAAGAAACCTATTAAAAATAATAGATAAAGTATTTTCTTTTCATTAATAAGAAGTCCCAAGTCTTTGGTTGCCATTGTAAGTGTTTAGGAAGACCTTTTCAGTCCTTGTACTTTGTTGTTCCTTTTATTTACAGTTGCAAGTCTCCAACACTGAGATCACGAAGTTGTATTTGTCGTCATCTCCAGCCTTTTGCTGGCCTTCAAAACTTATTAAGCGGTGAACATCCTTGTCAAGCATACTTTGTATGCCTCCTCTAGAACAGCCCTTGTGACAATCGTCTTTCAATAACCAAACCTCCTTGCCATCATCTTGGACATGCTGGTGACACTACATTTACATTGAGCTGCCTTATGTTCATGGTTGGACAGCTTATTGGGTTGAAAGGGGTCTTCAATAGCCTTTGCAAATCTGTCACTGTCATTTTGATTTTGTCTGCATACAAGGATTGTCATTGCCGTTCACTATTTAAGCCTTCATTCAATACTGCATTGATACTCCTTTTATAGGATTTAAAGTTGGTGGATTTATCTAATCTAGTCAGATCTAGAGATATTATTTAGGAATTTCCCTGGCCTTCTTTTGAATTCAAAGCTGATTTTTTAGAGGGAATAACTAAAAATATCTGTGGTAATTGAATTAATTCAAACGCTTTAAAATATGGTGCCATAGGAAATCGGATGTATATCATAACAGAAGAAATGATGGTTCGACATGTCAATGGAATATCAAATGGTGGGCCCAGATTTTATCTTAGTGAAATCTCGAAGAACTTTTTAATAGTGATATGATTTACTGGTTGAAGTTAAGGTTGATTGATATATTTTAGCTGTTTCTGTGTCTTTAGAACAAGTTTTCATGCCTGGTGTGTGTTGCATCTTTGATTTGAAATTGAGCTTCTAGATAAAATCACCACACCAGTGAATATAATTGTTTCTCCAAGGATATCTTACTGATTCATTATTTTCATATGGTTTGTGCTGCATTTCCCTGCTTCTTATATGCTTGTTTCATTGTTAACTTTTTTTTTTTTTTTGGTAATTTTCCTCTTTGAGCTTTCAGGCAGACTAAAAGGAATGCTTCTTGAAGCAAAGGGCGCTTGGCCTGATGCTGAAAAGGTTTATGCGCAGCTTCTAGTGGATAATCCACTTGACCAGGTAAGCTTACCATTTAGTTTCGTTAACACATGCATTTATGCCATTCACAACTTCAATTGTTTCAATTTGTGGTTGCTTTTTACCTGTTCAAAACCATGTTAATGTTCCGATTTATGTTTTTCAGCCTTTAGCAACGGGCCGTCTTTGGGTACAAGGCTCCTAAGATGTATAGGAACATTTGAAAATTCAGTATGATTCACTTGGGATTATCAAGTGATAAAGTCTCTTGTTCATTAATTTCTCGAGTGAAATAGAAAGAAATCATCAGGAAGATGCTTATTGTGTATAGTGAATCAATCTTTCGTTGTTTAGATCAAGACTCTATTTTGTTACACAGGAATGTTAATCTGAATCAGCTGAACACATGAAAACTTATCACAGGTTTTACATATGAAAAATTTCACATAAAAAAGTATCAATTCAAGGTATTTATCTCAACAATATATAATGTCCTGAGTTATTTTGACCATAGTTCTATTTGTTTGATTTGGCTGCATGGTCTCTTTGGCCTCCACATCATAAAGTTCAATTTCTGAAATTTTTTTTAAGTAATTAGCTATAACTTGCTATTTTTTTTATCACATGAGCATTTTAGAAAGGAATCCACCAATTTTTAGCGGAGAATGACCATGATGGCATTGAATTGATTTACTCTGGTGGTATAATTACAAGGGGTATGGAGATAAGAAAAAATAATTTTTAAGAATGCCTATAAAAATTGCATCTCAATGCATAGTGTTTGGATAGGATTTACAGCTTGTTTTTATCATATAGTTATTTTAGTCATTTTTCATCAGGTGAAAATTACATGTTGAAGTATGACATGTATGACATACTCTTGACCTCACTTTTGGTTGAGGTCTAGTTCTTGTTTTTCCTCATTAGTAGCTTAGGGTCTAGCCATAAGATTTTTCCGTTGACTATTCCTATAGGACTAGAAAAGGAATCATCACCATTAGAAATTCTAAACTCTTCTTTATTCAACTTGAATTTCCACATATTGGTCTTAGCATCTAGCACTTAGTAGGTAGGGTCAATATGGTATGGGGGAAGGGGAGTCCCCATAGGATTGCTTGGCCTTAGGGTTGACCCTCCCCTCTGGTGGTGTGGTGGTGTGGTCTTGGTTGGTCTCTCACACACACTTGCACACTACACTCCCACTCACTACCTTAAGCCCAAACCTACTTAACTTTGATCCTTTGACCCTTTGTGAGACTCATGTAGATGGTCCCCTAGACCCCTTAGCCTAGGCTAGGGTTTAGCTAGGACAAGCATTTTGCCAAGATTAGTACATAGAGGACCCAAATGAGGTTTCCATTGGTCCATGGCTTATTTAGGGTGATTGACACTCCAATTTTACCAAAATGCCCAACTTAGTCTTTTGTCCCAAAATCTATCCAAATTATCAAACTACCATTGAAACTCCAAAATTCCCAAAATCACCCAAAATACCCAATTTTGTTCAAAAATCATTTCAAACTCTTTGAAACCACGCAAATTGTCGAAAACACCCCAAAATTTTAAAATTACCAAAATACCTTTCATTTGGCCAAAATTACCAAAATACCCTTGGTGACCCAAATTTTCCCAAAACTTTCAAAATCATTTCAAATGTCCCCAATCAATTTTGACCACTCTATTGAGCATAATTTGACCAATTTGACATATTTTGACCAAAAACCCCAAATTTCTTTTAAAGGCCCAATTACCCCCAATTCACCCCAATGTCCACCAATTTGATCCCAATCTTCCCCAATTTCAATTCTAAACTTAAATTTATCATGCCCAAGCTTGTTTGAAACCAAGTCCAAGCCCAATTGACCCACATTTGAATCTAATTTCAACCCAAATCAAAAAGCCCCATATTGAGCCAAAAACCAAAATCTCACTCAATTGAACTCCCAAATCTATCCAATTGCCCCAATTTTTCAAAATAAACTCTTTAAAACAATTCCCCATATCAAATTGAACCTTCAATTGACCTTGGTCAAACCTCAATTTCACTCAAAATCAACTTAGACCAAAACCCTCAATTTTGCCCCAAACTAGCCATATCCCCAAATTCAACCAAATTGAACCCCACAACCCCAAAACTTCCACCAAATTGATGCCCAAAATTCTTCATGATAATCATCCACATCACATTGAACCATCAATTGGGCCTTAGCCCAACTTAGCCCAACTCAAACCCAAGTCTAACCCAACATACCCAAAATTTATCAAATGTCCAAATCCCTTCAAATTGAACCTCCAAATCAATTCAAAATTACTCCAAATCCTTTCTAAACTCCTTGTGACAATCATATACACAATCTTGATCAATCAATTGAATCCAATGGCATGATTAACCCAACTTAGCCCAACTTGAGCCCAAAATTGACCCATGACCCAAATGTGACCAAACCCAGCCAAAGTGGTCAACCTAAGACCACTACAACCTCCAACTGGACCCTAGTGACCAGCTAAACCCATCTAGCCCACCCTATGTGAGTCATGGACCAAAGGTCCCCTAAATTAATGGATTTCTTTCCTAAAACGCTTAAGCCAAGGAGATCTTTGTCAAAACCCATCACCATCCCAACTTAATTGCTTTAACAGATTCCCCTGAGGTTCTTGAGCCACCTGAGCACCTCCCCTGTCCTGGCCAGCCACGATAGTCGCCGGAGGAGCCAAAACCGAGGGCCACTATACCTTAATTTGAACCCAATTGCACCCATCCAAGATGTCCAACCCAGATTGGCCTTTAGCACTCTGCAGCCCTCCAACTCAGCTCCACATTGCACTTGGATTGAAGCCCTGAGCTCCACCCATTCCCTCTCTATTTAAGCCACCTCCTCCAAGGCCCAAAAAAGAGTTAACCAATTTTTTTAGGGAAACCCTGTCAAATTGTTCCCAGAGCTCCTCCAAGACTTCCTAAGTTCATCGCAACCATCTTCCAGCCATTTCCCCCATTGTCTGAGCTCAATTTTTGAGCTCAAAATCAGGACAAATTTCGACCATCCTCCAAAATCCTTCAATCTTCAAATTGAACTGCTCTTAAGCTTCCTCAGGCAAGAGAGGAAGTTCCCCATCAAAATCCCCCTCTGTTAAGCTCTCTAAACCACTCTTAGACCAAAGCCGCACCCCATTTCATTGAACTTGTACTTGGAGCTTACACCAGAGGAAAACAACACTTCCAGGAGGTTCGTGGGACTCCACTGAAGCTTTTACAAGCATCTGATTGATGCCTCTCCTCTCAGACAAAGGTATAAGCCATTAACCCTAATCTTGAGCTAGATTTTCACCAAATGTGAAGTGAAGTTTGATTTCATAGCATTGTAACTATATGGATGTGTTTGTCTTGAGTAGATCTTGAGTAGATGAATAATGTGTAGGAACAAACCTCATGTGATTTGGTTGAGTATTGAGCGAGATCTTAGGTCTAGAAGTCATGCGGTTCACTGGCTCTGGCCATTGGGGAAGATGACAGAGAGCCGTCCGATTGCGCATATATCGGACGGACAGACGAGATCGTGTCTAACAAGTTTTTGGTGCTTGAACAACGGTTCGAGTCAGCGCTGACTCAGACGGCGGCGTCGAACCAGAAGACGCCGCGTGGAGGCTTCAGAGATGCCAATGATTGCGTGGCGCCGCGTGGTTTAAGTTGATAAATAGGTTTGTATGAATTAAATTAAATGTCAGAACTTCAAAAATTCATAACTTTTCATAGAAAATCATAAAAATAAAATAAAAATACCTTCTTGCTCAGTGAATAAAGGAGAATATTGTGGACCACAAATAAAAAATATTTTTTGACTCTGATTTTTAATTAATTAATAGCCTCAATGGTATTTTAATTCATTATGATCAAATATTGCTCATCATGATTGAAATTTTTAGGGTCTGTCCTCATGGCAGGAGGGACGTCCTCTAATTTTTCCAAGGTCAGAGAGCATCCATGTGCTTCTACCCCTAATTTTCAAGCTTGGATGACTATTTTGACTTAAATTAATTATATAAATGAAAATATCACTTCAAAAATTATGAGACAAATTTTAGTAGGTTCCCTGTGGTCACAGAAGCCTAAAAAAATATCATGATGGTCTGAATAATTTTGTATATTTCTATAGTTAATTAAATGTGTATATCTTGTATTAATTTATTTAAATTAAATATTAATGAAATCAATTCCTTCCAAATTGTGTAGAAAAGTCTTGTTGACTCACTGTAAAAATTTGAAATTTATTTGATTAAGTTTGAGCACTAAAGTTGATTTTATAAGGAAGATTGTATTTTTGTACAAAAATAATTATATTAAATTAAATACACTTGGGAAAATTATGAAAAGTGATTTTCTGGTTTTTTGTGAACAGGAGCATTTAGGAAAAATTAAAATTGTTTTTGAGAAAATATTTTATTTTTGAGCTACATTTTAATTTAAAATAATTAAAAATTTTAAAAATACAAAAGTGTTTTAAAATGTTTCTAATGGTTTCCTGATCACTTGGAACTCATTAAAATATTTTTCCCAATTTTACTAATTTAAAAATGAATTTTTAAAAAGCCTAAAATGTATTTTTCTTATTTTTCATAAAAAATAATTATAATAAATAAATTAAAAATCATAAATATATAAAATTTGTTTCTTTGAGTTCTCTGGACTCAAGGAGGTTTAATAAAAATGTTAAAAATAATTTTTGTGATTAAAACATATTTTTCATTTAATTAAATCACTAAAAATCAATAAATAATTATAAAATTAAATTAAAATTTAATTTAGAAAATCATGGTATTTTGCCTTAAGTGGTCTCTGACCTAAGAGAACTTCTAATATTTTTCCCATAAAAAAAAAAAAAAACTTTACTTTGATTAATTAAATAAATTAATATTGAAAATCTTATTTTCTAGGTTAAAATAATTATTTAAATTAAATAAAATTTCAAAATCATATTTTCTCCTCTGATGTTTTAATTGCCCCATGGATAGGGTACTTTAAAATTTTTTAAGTCATTTGAATTGTG